GGTTCGATTATATAACGATTGTAAACGTTCCAGAAAATTGATCAAACTGAAAATAGTTCGTTTGATTTTCAGCAATTCCCATCATTCTCAGCGGTAGGTGTTATATAACAATCACTATGGTTGTTGAAATACTGAATATAAATGGGGTTTGCTTGCAAAATCCACATGGGCGAAGTCACAGGTAACAGCTAGTTAATATAATATTTCTGAAACTATTAGATTCTTTAATTAATTTGTTGAATTTTCAGAAACTCATTCTTTCAAATACTAACCTATCAATTACTTCATAAGCTTCTTCTGTACCAAGAATACAAAGAGCATTGACTGCAGCATATGTGGGTGCCAGATGACTCTGCTGTCCAGGTCCACCTGCCAAAAATAATTAAATTTAAATTAAAAAGTTAGAAAAAATAGAATAGATCTAGCAAATTTAAATTAGATGCAAATAATATATGGAGTATTGTATAAACTGGTTGCAAATACAGTGGATGCCACTTGCCATATTGCATATAAATATTAACTGAATAAAAATGCTTCTATTGATAAGTTATTATTTATGTATCAAAATATTATTAAGAAATAATTAAAATTGAATTCTGATATTTTGCACAAGATATTGCATAAATACGGAATCACGGGAGTTATTTCAATCTTTGCTTATTCTTTTACAGATAAAACATGCTGCCAAGTAGAGAGGAAAGACAGTTATTTTTATGGTTGGGACCTGAAGTCGGTGTGAACTCACCAAAGAGTTTAATGCGATGCATCCAGATTTCCTGCCAATTGTGTGGCGGTCTGTATACAGCTCTTTAAACTCTTCGGCAACTTCACACTGATTGTAAGTCTCCACTAAAAACATAATTGTTCCTCTTTACTCAACACCACACTTTACCTGTAAAAAGAATAAACAAAGTTCTACATAAATCCTATGGTTCCAGCCTTACAAAACATCCTGTACATTAAGTTTAGTGATATGTTTGTTGAGTTATATTTAAAATTTTTGTGGTTTATAAATTTTTTACACTTTTCTATATATTTTCCCTTGTTTAGCTTTCAATAAAGCCAAATAACAATTATTTCATATAATATAATATGTTTTATGTTACAATTATTTAATTAAATTATTATATAAATAATCCATTTATAAAATCTATTAAAATATTAGCTACAAAATAAAAGAAATTATACTAAAAAACAT